TTCCCGCTCGAGCGGCACTTCCCCCGCTCGAGCGGACGACTGAAATCTGGAAATCCCAGATTCGATCTCCAGGTCTAAAACCAAGCTCAAAAGCATCAAAACCAATCCTCTTGGGCCCATTTTCTGGAAAACGTTTAAAAACACATAGAATAACATGAATCAAGGTTCAATTTGAGAAATCAAAGCCCAAAGGTAGTTCAATTAAACATGATTTCAAACCAAGTTTCAAGAACAACAACTCAAACATGACATGCATGATCTTAAATCATTTTCAAAGCTTCAATGCTGTTTCAAGAGCTCAAACCTTCAAAAACAAGATGAACTCATGGACTTAGACATAGTTGTGAACATGCATGTAACATTTTGCCATGACTCAACTCCAAATTCAACCAAGAACACATGCATGCAAGAATTGAGCTTCATTTAACAACAATGAACCAAAACATGACTTAGTTCTACAATGAAGCATGAATCATGCAAGAACTAGCTCAAACACATCAATAAAGGTTGAGTTCTCTTACCTAGAGCCTCAATTACAAGTGTAGGACCACAAAGCAACAATCAACCTTCAATTCTCTAAGTTGTTTAAGCCAAATCTCAAGAACTACACAAACTCTCACTCTCTCTCTCTCTAAGGTCGGTTGAGGCTCAAAATGTGAGAAGAAGTGTGGGTTTAATCAATACGTGGAGTGTTTACAAGGCTCAAGTGTGTGTATATGAGATAGTGGCAAAATGGTAAATATGGCAAACTCTTTAATTGGCTTATTTTAATCTAATTTAATCATACCTAATCAGTTTTCAGATAAATATACCATAAAATCACATTAATTATGAGGGTCACGGAACATCAATCGGTTTCTAATTCGGCCGCCGATAAGGCCTTCAATTAGCAGTTTAAACATATAAACATGAACAGATAATCAGACAATCAAACAGATAGAATGCAATTAACTAATATATACTCAGTCAATTCAGTTTCAATTTCAGTCAGTTATCATCAGTCAGTTATCAGTCATCATCAGTTCCGTTTAGCAGTAATCGGTGATTATCGGTAATCAATCAGTCCCTAATCAGTAAACAGTATGAGGGTTGTTACAAAATCGTTGAACCATTGAGTTGTAATCTCATTTGAGTGGTTGAAAAATAATGGAATTAAATTATGCATTAAAATGAATTAAGGGAAAATGAAATGGAATATAGAATTGATGTCTGTGATTACACACACACACACATATATATATATATGAGAGTATGAATGTTTATCCTGATCATTGTGTATACATAAGTACTTATATCTTTGTTAAACCTCATATACTATGTGAGATTATTCTTACTGGACTGTGGCTCACCCTATTTAGGGAAACATTTTCAGGTAATGATGGCATGCCCCCACCAAAGCAATAGCATTGGAGGGTTATTTGGAAAGCAAGAGGGCTTCTTGTTTTGTTTCATATTTTGTATAGCTTAGGGCTTTAATTGTAAGGGTTAGTCCCACTTTTGTTGTGACCAAGTTAAGACTTGGAAATGTGTAAGTCCGAAGGGCATTTATTTATGTTAAACTCTCTTGTAATATTAACTTCGTGTAATAAGAGAACTGTTTACTCTGATGTATGTTGCCTTCTTTATATATGCTTATGGGTTCTATTTATGGTTATATTTTAAGCGCGTTACTATAATTTTGAAGGATAGCATTCCTGTTACAAATAAACTATTAAGACTGTGTTTAGATTATGGATTTTGGCAAGGATTTGAAAAAAAAAATAAAAAATAAAAAAATGAATGAAATATATTTACATTTCACTTACACATCACTCACATTTTTTCTTTCTTTCTTTCTTTCTTTCTCTTTTTTTTTTTTTCCTTTCTAAATTTATAATTCAAACACAATCTAATTATGACAAAATGGGCATTTGAATTGAGATATCTCTATGGTTTGCAATTAATTTTAATGGCAAATTGCACTAACAGTCCTTATAGTTTAGGACTTGTGTCACTTTAATTCCTGACTTTTCAATTGTGACACGTTTGACCCTAAATTTTGAATCTTATTCCAAATAAGGACAATTGAAGATACCATTATTTAATTTCAATGGCAAAATCATCAATTTAATAAAATATAAACTAATTTGACAAAAATATATGTCCAAAAAATATTTTTAATTTTTTAAAAATGATTTCTATCCACTAAAGATAAAATTATGTAAAATTGATCAAAATTAAAAAAAATTACATGAATACTTTTTAAAAATTAATTTTATATGTTCATCATCCAAACACATAATAAAAATTAATTTAGTAAAAAAAATAAATAAATGTCTAAAAGATTTATCAATTTTACATAATTTTATCTTTAGTGAGTAGAAATAATTTTTAAAAATTCAAAAATATTTTTTTGACATTTATTTTTGTCAAATTAGTTTATATTTTATCAAATTGACGATTTTTTATTTTACCCTTGAAAAATCTAATGGTATCTTCAATTGTCCTTATTTGGAACAAGATTTAAAATTCAAGGTCAAATATGTCACAATTGAAAAGTCAAGAACTAAAGTGACACAAGTCCTAAACTATAGAGACTATTAGTAAAATTCACCCAAATTTCAAATATTTGGTAATCTAATCATAGGCAGACAAAGATTAATTAATTGGAGGGAGTTGGACCATGAGTGGAGGGCAAAAGGATAAGGACTTGGAAGTAGTTAGGGTCCACAGGATAATTTGAATTAGAGAGGGGCAGATATTCAATAACACAAAATTGGAAGTCAGACAAATACAGCTATCCAATTTACCAGAATCTTCAAACCTCGGTGTCAACACCGACAATCGGACAAAAAAGTTAAAACCGTGGTCGGTAATTGTAAGGTAACAATTTTTAAGGATAAAACTATAGTCGGAAGAATTGCATAAACATACACCAAAGCAGAAACAATTGCAAAAATGTGGACGAATAAAAAATAATGACAAAATGAATGGAATTTAAATATTAGAGTAAATTACAATACATCTCTTGAGATTTTATTAAAATGTGAATCGTTTCTTGTGATTTTAAAAATTATATTTTATCCGAAAATTTTTAATTTCATAATAAATTGTCTATTAGATTAATAAATCATTAAGTCAATTAATAGTTTTTAATGATGTTAAAAATATGTTTCAATTAATAATTTAAGTAATTTTATTATTATACAGGAGAATAATTATGAATTTTATTTTTTCAGTTAATTTTATAAAATAAAAAATTCTAATAAAGGGGTATTTGTAATTTTTTAAACCACAGGAACTAATCTATATTTTAAGCATATCTCGTGGGGTGTATTTATAATTTACCCTAAATATTAATTGAAAAACATGTAAAATTACAATTTTGTTATTTTTTCTTTCATTCATCTCTTATTTCCCACTCCCTTATTTTCTCTGGTCACGTATCATCTCGCACCCTATCTTTTTTAATTGTTAGTCATCCCTTTCTCGCCTTTCATATTCGCCACTAACCTCACTCTCAACCTCCTCCGTCTTCAATTTTTTGAGTCTTACTTTTCAACTCCAATATTTTTTCTCACTGCCATCATCATCACTATACGATCAATTCAACTGCTATTAAGATTACTTTTTATTTTTGATGATTTTAAAAAGAATCTTGCTAAGAGGAATTAAAAAGATTATACAATTCTTTAATGTGATTTAATACAAAATGTACAAATGAAGTTCTTAAAGACTTAACTCAGGGTGGGTGGCATTGTGGTTAAGGCCTAGGGATTAAGCCCCTAGGTCACAGGTTCAATTCCTTTTTCCTGGATCAATTTTCTGAGCGAAACACAGTTCGTTAGGAGGTTGGGTCTCAAGTTGTCTAATCAGTACTTGTTGTGGGTTCAATACTTCCCTGCTGTGCGAGTCCTGACTTAAGCGAAACTTGTTTTGGGAGATCAGAACAAGTTCCCAAGTTATAGTTTCTTCGCTCGGAACGGCTAATAAAGGGCGCTGCCTTGGCAGCCTTGGACCTGCCAGAAAGTAGGGAGGATTTTCTTGTAACCATAACAAAAAAAAAAAAAAAAGTTCTTAAAGGCATTAACGAAATTCTTTTAAAAATTTAGGGGTTGTTTGGAGTGTCATAAATAAGTGTACTTTTTATCTTTTTGGACTAAAAAATTAAGGAAAAAAATATGGATGTTTAGGTTAATTTTTTGACTTTTTTATGAAAAAATGTGTATTAAAAAATTATATAAATTAGTGTGTAGGGGTATAGGGAAAAATTAAAATTGAGAGTTATGCAGTCGTAATTTTTGACTTTTGATAAATAGTGATAACTTTTTAACTTTTTAAATAATTTTTTACCTTTTTTTCAACTTATCAAAAACTTGACTTTAATAAGAGCATCTGCAACGGTAAATCAGATTTTTCACCAAATTTGAGTAAAAAATAACCCATTTTACCAAATTTGATACCACTCGCTCCAACGGTGCACTTTCATCAAATTTGTGCCGGGAACAATCGGTTGGTCGACCGGCCGATCGACCGGTTGGTCGACCGGTTAAGCGAAATTTTTTTTTTGTTGAACTTTTTGAATCTTTTAGTGGTCGACCGGCTGGTCGACCGGTTAGGCATTTTTTTTTTTTTTTTTTTTACTGTTTGAACCTTTTCTTCGAACCGTTTGAATCTTTAGGCGGTCAACCGGTTGGTCTCTCTCAATGGTTAGGAACAGTGATTTGGTAAAATGCTTCGCCTGTTCTCATTTTGGTAAAAGATTTGCTGAATTCTGGATTTGATATCGATTTGGTGAAACCGTTGGAGCTCAAAAAGTGACTTTTTCATTAAATTTTAAATTTAATACCAACTTTGATGAACCGTTGGAGATGATCTAATGGAGACACTCCATGTCCAACACATATTGCTCAATAGTCAATGTCCCGATTCTTTTTCCCATACAATATTGTCTTTTATAGTTTTGACAGAGTTATGAGGAGGTGCTATTCAATGTTATTTTCCAAAACCGAAGGGCATTTACTCACGCGGTCCTCAAAAAAGGGAATCCAAAGCAAAGCGGGAACAACAGGCCCTCGTGTCCGTTAATTTTTGAATTTCAAATATGGAACAGCTCAACCCACTCTCTCTCTACAGTTCCAGAGCTCATCCATCGCTAACCATTTCAGCTCCCATTACTGTCTCTCACCAACACTTGTTCAAGATCTCTCTCTATTTGTCTCTGAAAACATTTAGTTTCAGCTCTGTACGGCTCTATTTATTGAAAAGAAGAGTTTTTTTAGCTGAGAATCTCAAGTTTCAATCTTCTCAATCAATAACTAATCATTGATGGGTGGTTCAGGAAAGTGGGTCAAATCATTAATTGGTCTCAAGAAACCCACAAAAGACGACCAAGTAAGTAAACCTAAAAATTTCCACTCTGAATCTACAGATTTTGCTTTCTCATCTCATCTCTGTTGTAATTAATTTTCTTTCTCTAGGAGAAATGGGGATGTAAGAGCAAGAAATGGAAGCTGTGGAGGAGTTCATCAGGGGATCTGGGGTCCAAATTGACGGGTTTGAAAGGGAATCATAGGGGTGTTGCATCAGAGGGCTCTGATTCTTCGTTGGTCGCTACTGATGCTTTTACATCTGCTGTAGCTACTGTCGTCCGAGCTCTGCCTAAAGTTTTCAGGGTTGTGAGGCAAGAATGGGCTGCAATCAGGATCCAAACTGCATTCCGTGGATTCTTGGTAATTGTGTTTCTCTTTTCTTCTCTTTTTCTTGTCTGTTTGGTTGTTGAGAAAATGTGAGTAAAAAAGAAAAACTTTTTTTTTTATTTTTTTTTATTTTAAATTGATGCATGGTTTCGTAGCTTTGATAAGCCATTAGCTTCTGCCGCAAAATTTTTGAGATTGATGGATCTTATTCTCTCCGTTTAGTTCAGTTCCTACAATAATGGATTCGTGTATTTTTGGCATATGCAATAGTAAAAAATTTGTTCATGCTGCAGAACTCTCTATTTTAGTAATTTTTAAATTTTTTGGTCAAAATATAAGTTAAAAAAATTAGCCTATGTTTGGGAAGTGGGTTCTGTAGCTTTTTTGGCTAAAATAGTCATAAAAAATAAAATAGACTTTTTAGTCCAATAAGACAAAAGATCACATCTAATTCATAATTATTACATTTTTTTTTCACAAAATAACCAAAAAAGTCAAAAAAATTAAAAGTACTTCTCAAATCAGGCTTTTTAGCCCCAGGTTAAAATAGTCAAAAAAAAATCGAAAAACTAAAAAGTTAATGGAATGATTTTTTGATTTTTTTATAAAAGAATGTGCAAAAAATAGAAAGAAAAATGTAAATTGTCAAACGAGGCAAAGCTGCCCCTTTAGAGAGAATCAATAGAATGATTAAAACCCCAAAACTCCATCATTTCAAGAAGTAAAGAATGCTAGCTGTTCACTTTAAAAAAAATAAAATCTTGGGTTACTAAACTGTGGTTAAGTGTCTCCGATCCTTTCTCTCTTTTTCCAGTCAAATTTAAGTAAAAACTTGGTTAAAAGCTTTATCTAGTATAGAACACTCCAATCTTTACTCTCTTTTTTTAATAAATTCTTTTTGGAAGTTTTCAAACTTATCGTAAAACCTGTTTCAATCATTTTTGATGAAAGAAATTCATCTCCAATCTTTACTTGAGAAACAACATTAATTTTCTGTTACATGTGTCAATCAGTGGATGAAGAATAGTTTTAGCATTTTCAAAAAATTCCCAGTTTTGGTTTGAATTTTGATGCAACATGAGCTCACCTAGGCAGGGAATATGTGGAATAGTAGTTGTCGTTTGTGCAATCCAAATGATGTTCTGGGAATATTGTATTAGTCAGTGTCTGCCATTACAAAAATGTAGGCAAGACGAGCTTTAAGGGCCTTGAAAGGAGTGGTGAGGCTACAAGCCTTGGTTCGGGGTCATCAGGTGAGGAAGCAGGCTGCTGTGACTCTGAAATGTATGCAGGCTCTTGTTCGAGTGCAAGCCAGAGTTAGAGCTCGTCGTGTGCGCATGTCTATAGAGGGGCAGGCTGTGCAGAACATGCTAAATGAACATCGCAGCAAAGCTGATCTCTTGAAACAAGCCGAGGTATGATACCTACCTGACCCTGGAAATTTTTTATTTTTTGTTCGAGATTCTGTCATACTTTGTTTGGATCTTGGGTTTTTGAGGGAAAGGAAAAAGAAGAGAAAAAAAAAAATTAGTGAAAGAAAAATTCTTTTCTTTTGTTGGGCTAAGAAAATGTGAACAAAATGAATAGATATTTGTCCCCCAAAAAAATAATTTTTTTTGTTTGATATATGTAAGTATTTTCATTTTCCTCACCAAATTCAAGATTCAAATGTAGCGTTAGAGGTAACTTCCTTGTTTTGGCGCCATGAATATTCTTTTTCTCATCATGAAATTAAGAATTTTTTTGGAATTTCCATCTCGGAAATTTTCAGGAAGGGTGGTGTGACAGTGCAGGGACACTAGAAGCGATTAAAACAAAGCTACAAATGAGGCAAGAAGGGGCCTTTAAGAGAGAAAGAGCACTTGCGTACTATCTTGCTCAAAAGGTACCAAGATAATTTACTTTAACCTCTTCTCTGCCTTCGCTATAATAACATGACTAAGTTCTTCATTTTTGCAGCAATGGAAATCAACCCAGAATTCAGATTCGCGAACAAATGTCTCGGTGTCCTCTTTCAAAAGCCACGAGTTTGATAAGAATAGCTGGGGTTGGAGTTGGTTAGAACGTTGGATGTCTGCGAAGCCATGGGAAAATAGATTGATGGAAAAAGTTCACACTGATCCCTCAGAGATAACTCCACCTTCTAAAAGTGGTGCTAATTCACTAGCTCATTCTAGTCGTTTAAAATCTTCTGAACCGTGCTCGGTAAAAGTCAGAAGAAACAATGTTACCACAAGGATTTCAGCGAAACCTCCCTTGGTTGGGCAAGTTACACGCTCATCTTCAAGCCCAAGTTCTGAATTTCGATATGATGGGAGCTCAGCTTCATCTTCAATTTGCACGTCTACAACTCCTGTTTCTGGAAACACTGTCATGGCTTCAGATAGAACAGAAGAAAGGAATAACAATAGGCCGAGCTATATGAACGTCACTGAATCGACTAAGGCTAAGCAGAGAAATTTATCTTACAGAGTTCAAATGCAGTCCATGGATGGGTTTCAGTTTTTCAAGAAGTCATCAGAACTTTGTAAAGAGGACTGAAAAAGCAGTGCTGGTTCTGATCCTTCTGTCAATATGTCCAGGCCGCTCTGCCTGCCCACTGGAATGGAAAAAAGCCGATGAGACTAGGGAAGGAGAGATAATTGTTTCGATGACTAACGTGAATTGGTTCTTTGGTGTTGCAAAGCTCAACAGCTTCGTGTTCTTTTTATAGCTCAGGAAGTATGTTGCTTCAAAGCAACTGTACTATGAGCTAATTGGTACTGAAAACTTTGATGAGGTGCAATTTGAGGCCTCTTTCATTCTGTAAAGTAGTGAGTTTGGTTGTGAAATTTAACCGTTGCCTTTTTGTATTAGTATTTCATTTCCAAACATTTATCTTGAAAACTCAGTTGGCATGCTACTTGACTCCCTCAACCTATAATATTTTCAAAATTCAGAAAATCACGTCTTAGTATGACGTATTTCAATAAATGATCAAATTGGGATGATTTATTGAGGTCACCAAACCAAGAAAAACATTGAAACCATCGAGATTATACATGCCAAGAACAATACCCTGCCAAGCTTAACAATGTCTATGCTCTTTTGATGGCTCTAAGCCAAACACCATGCTTGAAGTTGAGAATTATGCCATACTCTAGTTCCAGAGGTTTTTCCATGTTGGGGGAATGGTGAAACACATATTTACGGTACAGATGAATCAGTGAGAGTTTTATTTCATACAAAGAAAATTTTTGGCCAATGCATGCTCGAGGTCCAATTCCAAAAGGTATGTGTGCATAAGGGTGCCTTTGTTTCTCTTCTTCACAATTCGGATCAAATCTCTCTGGCTTGAACTTTTCTGGTTCCGGAAAATTTTTAGGGTCTTTAGCTAGAACTCCAGGTGCCAACCAAATCCATGTGCCCTGCTCATTCATAGAAAAAATTAACAGATGAGATGCCTATATTCTAAGGGGGGCAGCTTGTGGACTGGACGGTGTTGTTGAGCCCGTGAGGCTCATCACGGGTTCTATTTCGATGACTAGAACTGTTCAATGTGTAAAACTCGTCGAGTACTTTATCCTTATAAAAAATCACGTTAATCGAATATCGATAGCTACTTGATTGGATCGGATTTTTGTCCACTATTTATTTTGAAAATTATATTTACCGTTGATAGAAATCTGATACAATCAAATAGGTATTGATATCCGATCAATGTGATTTTTTACAGGAATAAAATAATCGACGAATTTTATACATTGATGGTTCAGATCATCGAAACAGGACCCGTGATGGGCCTCCACGGGCCCAACAGCACGATCTAGTCCAATCACGGACTAGAGAGAGGCCTAGCCCATTCTAATGCATTCATAAACATGCCTGACTACATAAGCTTGTTGTATGATATTATGATTAGGAGCTGACTTCTTGCCAGTTAAAACTAAAGGATTGTTTGGTATGTTCTAAATAAGTGTACTTTTTGACTTTTTATGAAATATGGATTGGGTTTGAAGTGATGTGGTAGAGAAGTGATGTAACCTAAATAAGAAGATGTGACTTAAATAAGATAGTGACTTTTTGACTTTTATTAAAGATGTCAAACTTGGCCTAAATGGCCAATACAGTTTCTATTAAACTGAATTAGACATCCAATTCAACTGGAGAGAAGTCTATATTTAATAGGAGTCGAGTTCTTGCCAGTTAAATAAGACATTCAGTCTAGTTTTTGTTAGACTGGACTTCCAGTTTAACTAGAGAGAAGCCTATCCCTTACGCTGATTATATGTAATACCTTTGGCAAATGGTAACCTCCTATCTCCACTTCCTTTGATGTTTCTCTTGCTATTAATGGGGAAACTGTATAGAACCTCATTGCCTCTTTGACCACCTGCAACCAAACAATCAAAACAAGCATGAGACAAAGTAATCTTTTTGGATAAGTACTTTCACACTTACAAGCCTCAAATCAGACAAATTGATCTTAGACTTGCCTGGTCAAGATAGGGAAATTTGTGTTGAAGATCATTAGCAGTTGGCATCTGATCATGGGGACCGAAGCTGTCAATCTCTTTAAGCAACTTCTTCTCAACTTCTGGATGCCCGGCAACTAGATATACAGTGGAAGACAATGTAAAGGAAGTTGTGGCTGATCCGGCAAGCAGATGCTCATAAGTAACTGCACTGATGTCGTCCGGGGTGAAAACATTCTTTGACAATTTCCCTGTCTCCCTTGCACTCAATATAAGCGACAAGAAGTCCTTTGAGCCTCGGTCCTTGTCTTCCATCCTCTTCACAACAATCTCATCAAGGCGGCTGCTCAAATCCCGATTTGTCCTTTCAACTTTCCAGTCCATGGTGCCCGGTATTCTTTTCAGAATGAGGCGAAATGGTTCTTGGAGTATGGGGACAAGAAGGCCTAATATGATTGAAAAGGAGCCTGAAAGGTCCATCTTGAGCATTGTTGTGGAGTAGATGTGTTGATTGATGAAGTTGCGGACTCCCTCATTGCTATTACTCTGATGACCTAAATCATTCATAGAGTCATCACTTGTTGACCGTGGCTTAGAGAGGCCAAAGTCAACACCAAATGCCACTTGTCCGATCACATCCGTGGCCAACTTGAGGGAGAGGTCAGAGAAAATGATGTCCTCTTCTTTGTTGAAATGGAGGTTTTGAGTAGCGGATTCGACGAATGCTTGCATAGTCGGCACCAACTTGGCTAGGTGGGATGGCTGGTAGACTGATAATATGGTGTTTCGCATGGTAGACCATCTTGCATCCCTATAGATAAATCAGTCGCACATCAAACTTTGTTCATGTGCCAAGTATTGTTGCATTGTGTGATCTAATTTAATCATTACGAATCAATTTGGAATAGTACTACCTTAAGCCACATCATTCTGTATAAATTTGGGATTTTTTTTTTAAGCCTAGGCACGCCTTTAACAACTATGATAGATAGACATAGTGTATGTGTTTGTGATGATATACACCTGGTGAAGAAGAGACCCTTTTGATGAAGAGGGGAAGCTGAGATAGGAGAGGGAATGCTTCTGTTGGGAATGTCTTTGAATTTCTTAATTCCAACTTCTCTACACAACTCAGGATCTGCTACTATTACCAGTGGTTGTCTTCCCATATGAAACCTGCACCCCCACAAAAACCATAGAAATATTATTCCAAAGTTCACAACAAAAATTGAAAATAATTTATTCGTTATTATCATAAACATTTTTTAGAAAATTGAGATAAAAAAACCAATTTCAGAAACATCAGAAATATATATATATATATATATTTTCCAATTAATGACAACATCATATGCTTAATATGTTCTTACAAAACAAATTTACTAAAACTACACCAAACAAACCAATATAGCCTCTCTCTCTTTCTCATAAGACTACTTAAGACTAATCTTAGCACTAAGGCATGCGTGATAATGTATGCATGCTTGAAATGATTTCCCATTTTTTGTTTACTCATCTTGAAAATCTTGATTCCATGTTATCTTTCTTGCTAAATGATTTCTGTGATTTTGGTTTTGATTGTCCTCTGAAAAACTTGGAAAAATTTAATAAACACTTGGGAAGATATAATGAATCAATCCAGCAAATATGTATATTGCTATATAATAGTAGTAAGAAAATCTAACCTGAAAATAGGACCATATTGTTTGGAAAGGACTGAGAACAACCCAGGACCATATTTAGCCAGCAAGGGAAGGTTTCCTACCAATGGCATCGCCACTGGGCCAGGTACCCTCCTAACCCCCCAATAGGGTGCATAGAAGTACCCCAAAACTCCAACCAATAAGCCTAACACGGAACATGCAAGTGATACCATAGGGGTCCTAACTAAGGTCACACCTACCTCTATCAATCCTTGGAGGGTCTCATTCACCAAATCCATGAGAGAGAGAGAGAGAGAGAGAGAGAGAGAGTTTTCAGGGTCTTCTGTATTCACATGGGACGGAATATAGGAGGAAAATGAGACATCTTGTGGTGTAGTTGGTCTTTGTGTTGTGGGTAATTCAATGATGATACAAGGCAAAATGGGGGGGCCCTTTTTTATGTTGATTTTTACTCATCAATTGTGAAACCAAATCCTCTCGGAGAAAGAGAAGGAAAAAAAAAAAAAAAAGACGAAAGCATTTGAGCAAGGAAATGAAAATGATTTGACATTCTTTTTTGTCATAGTGCAATCTATAAGAGCATCCACAGTAGAGCTGCTATAAAAAGAGTGTTAGTGTCAATTATTAAGTTTTAGCAAGGTTTGTTGTTTGGTGCTGCAGTCGATCTGTTAAGGCGTGTGTTAGTGGTGTGTGTTAATATATTTGTTATCTGCAGCGATCGTTTAGCCAGCGAAGGAGGGTGTTTGTCTGGTCTTACCAGTTGACCGGCCGGACGTCCGGCCGGTTGACAAGTCAACGGCAACTTTTTTTTTTTTTTTTTTACTTGTTGGGATTTTTTTTGGACTTGAAATTTAATTTTGGGCTTGAAATTTTTGATTAAACCAAATTATTTATTTTATTTATTTATTATACACACACACACATATATATATATATATATATTTAACACACACCTTAACACACTCCTTAACATATCCATTGCACCACCAGTCACTCTCTAAAATTAACAAACTCTTAATACATCTTAACAAATATTTTTAGGCCCCACTTTTATTATTTTTTGTCATATAAAACAGACCTTAATACATTTTTTTAGCCATTCCATCGTGGATGCCCTAACTTAGCTGTGTTACAAATAAAGCTCTCCCCATCTTGTCAAAAGATGCAGGTCTGTTTGTGGTCATTTAAGGCTAAGTTTGGGAAGACTAAATAAGTGCACTTTTTGAATTTTTATGAAATATGGGTTGGATTTGGGTTGGGTTTGAAGTGATGTGTTAGAGATGTGATGTGACTTAAACAAGATAGTGACTTTTTGACTTTTTGAATTTTTTGAAAGATGCCAAACTTGACCTTAGTGTATTAAGGTTGGTTTGAAATTGGGGTTTACTCAAAAATCCAAACTTTCTAACACAAAATTATGTTGGAACAATCTTCTCACTAATTTCTTATTGAAAAAATTCAAAAGAATTTTATTAAGAAATTAATGTTAAACTTGAAAACGATGTCAACTTCCCATTCACTCATAAATGGTTTTGACATTCCGTATTCACCGTGTGACTTGCCACGCGGCAAGGAACACTTCACCTCGTCGAACCCACTCCAAACGTTGTTTGGGGTCCACCCAAATTGGGTTAAAAAATATGCCTATATAAAACCATTTTTTCCAACAAATTATATTTTTGTTTGATTCCCAATTCATGAAAGGATAATACCTATCTAGCGAAATGGCCGAAGCAACTGTAAGTGTTTTGCAAGAATATAAAGCAGAGAGCCAGACAACCATTATGCCTCTACAAGCTGATTGTAGAGGCGTGTACATAAATATGGAATAGTTTCTTTTCCGTTGGTGATAGAATCGGAGAGATAGATATTAGATGCTATTGGGGCTTAGTGGGCCCACATTGGTGGTTTGAATGGTTTAAGTTATAAGACTCGCTTGAGCATCCTGTAAAAAAATCTAATTGATAAAACATTGATAATCATATGGTTACATCATATTTATTTTAGGGGAAATTACCCATAGGTCCCATGGGAAATATGTGATTTCCATTTAATCTCATAACTTTTTCACTACACCCAAAAGTCCTTTCCTCTCTCTCTGCTTTTTGCTTCCCTTTCTCTCTCGTTTTTTTTTTCTACATTTTTCTATCACCATGTTTGTCATGGAAGAGGACCACCGGTGATCATATCTTTCTCCATTGATCGGGGTTCATTGATAACCACCAAGTATTGAAATCAACTCCGACGAAGAAGATGATATATTTTCCGACGAAGAAGATGATATATTTTCCGATGAAGAAGATGAATGGATCTACTTAAATAAAACCTGTTTGGAATATAAATATTAATCTATTTGACAAACTTTAGGAAACTACTTTAGGAATCCAAAAATTTGAATTTAGATTTAAATTAAATTCCCACACTAATTTCTTATTGAAAAAATTCAAAAGAATTTTATTAAGAAATTAATGTTAAACTTGAAAACGATGTCAACTTCCCATTCACTCATAAATGGTTTTGACATTCCGTATTCACCGTGTGACTTGCCACGCGGCAAGGAACACTTCACCTCGTCGAACCCACTCCAAACGTTGTTTGGGGTCCACCCAAATTGGGTTAAAAAATATGCCTATATAAAACCATTTTTTCCAACAAATTATATTTTTGTTTGATTCCCAATTCATGAAAGGATAATACCTATCTAGCGAAATGGCCGAAGCAACTGTAAGTGTTTTGCAAGAATATAAAGCAGAGAGCCAGACAACCATTATGCCTCTACAAGCTGATTGTAGAGGCGTGTACATGAATATGGAATAGTTTCTTTTCCGTTGGTGATAGAATCGGAGAGATAGATATTAGATGCTATTGGGGCTTAGTGGGCTCACATTGGTGGTTTGAATGGTTTAAGTTATAAGACTCGCTTGAGCATCCTGTAAAAAAATCTAATTGATAAAACATTGATAATCATATGGTTACATCATATTTATTTTATAAAAATAAACAATTATAATTTTAAGAATAGATTATTCATTTAAAAAAAAATATATAAATATAATCCAAACAATGTGGTTATTGATTTTTAATCAATTTAATTTTTTGCGCAACAGTATCTCTCGAGTAGAATGACAAAATCAATGACGACATTGAGGCACTAGGCAGGTGTCACGGACTTAGACTTCGCAAGCCTACCGTGCGGCCTTAGATGCCTCTCAACCCTCTTGGTTGCACCTAAGTCAGTCTTACCCACTCAACCACACTAACACACACAGTTTAGGTGGAAGAATGTCACTCAACCACACTAACACACACAGTTTAGGGAAGAATGCCTTTACTATACAAGTTAACTTTACAAGTATAGTCGTGTACAAAGCTTACAAGGCTCTCACACTCACACTCACACTCACAAGTGTTTCACTCTTAGAGCTCTCTTGGATCTCTAGGTCTCTAGGTGCCTAGCAAATGAGACCCCTCACCCTTATATAGTCATCCCCCTCCTCAATGGACGGCTAGGATCATTTTGATCCAAGGGCTACAAACTCTCATCTAGAACACTTCATAGAACTATCTAGGACAACTACCCCTTCTACTACAATCTAGAACTCTCTTACACTAGTGTAGTACATGGTAGGCTTCTCCAGGATAATCTTGGATGTTCCAGACCCATCCAGACTCCTGTGGACACTCCAAGGCTCTTCCACATTCCGGAATCTTCCAGGCCACTCCGGACCCTTCTACCACGTTCTAGAGTCTTCCAGCATACTCTAGGTTGGTCTCCCTCATTCCGAAACCTTCCAGCGCCTTCAGCATATTGCCCACGCTGCTCCTTGTGTCACATATATTGTCGGGGCGTGACACTCTCCTCCCCAATCCCGTGACGCCCTCGTCACGCAGAAGCATACCGAGCCACCACGTCTCGATACGATCTGTGTTCGCTGCTGCTGGTGCTTGCCTCCTCTTTGCCCTTGCCATGCGGCCCACTCTGCTGCATCCCTACAAGTGCCTTCCTCTTCGGGCAGTCCTTCACCATGTGCGGTCCGTTGCACAGGAAACACTCGACCCACCCTTTCCTCTTCAAGCCCAGCCTCTTAACCTCATCAGTGTACTCAAACCTTAGAGTGGCACCTCTCTTCTCCTGCGCATGTGAAGTTTCCCCTTAGCCTTCACCTCCGCGCACCGCCCATCCTTCTTTTAGATGTGCATCTCCTCACTCTTCTGGGATATCGACCCAAGAAGCTGGATGCTCCCCAGCTGGGCCACCTTCTCTGAAGGGTCTTCACTCTCGGAGTCCCTCGCCTCCTTCTATCTCTTCCTTTCCATGGCACTCAGCTGTTTCTTCTTCTTCGGGCAGTTTCTCACCATGTGCGGTCCGTTGCACAGGAAACACTCAAGCTGCCCCCTCTTCCTTGGAGATCCGGTGCGTTGCCCCTTCCCTCGGCGTTCCCGTCTCTTCTAGGCCTCGTCCTCACTGTGCTCATCCTCGGTGGTCTGAGGAGACTGCCTCCCACCTTTGGCACGGCTTTCTCGGGCATCCCTCGCACCCTCATAGCTCTTAGGTTCTGGCGCACGAACCTTCCTCCTGGCTTGAGCCAAATTCCCTCCATTGCCAGCGACGATGGCCTTCTTGCATAACTCCAACTCTAACTCCAAGCTAGCTACTCTTGATTCCAGGGCCTTCTGCTGGGTTGGACTGTCTCTAGCTACCTCAAAGCGAGACGAATTCACCCTTCCCTCGAAGGAGTCCACCTTCTCCTCCAGCTCCTCCACCCTAGCAACCAAACTAGCAAAGTAGGAGAAAAAGTCACTGATACGAGATGTGGGCTTACCAGGGCCAACTAGCGCATCCTCAAGCCTAGTGAACCTCTCTTCCACATTCTCCATCATCCCCTTGAGTCGTGCCTCCAATGCCGGCATCGGACAACTACCCCTTCTACTACAATCTAGAACTCTCTTACACTAGTGTAGTACATGGTAGGCTTCTCCAGGATAATCTTGGATGTTCCAGACCCATCCAGACTCCTGTGGACACTCCAAGGCTCTTCCACATTCCGGAATCTTCCAGGCCACTCCGGACCCTTCTACCACGTTCTAGAGTCTTCCAGCATACTCTAGGTTGGTCTCCCTCATTCCGGAACCTTCCAGCGCCTTCAGCATATTGCCCACGCTGCTCCTTGTGTCACATATATTGTCGGGGCGTGACACTCTCCCCCCCAATCCCGTGACGCCCTCGTCACGCAGAAGCATACCGAGCTACCACGTCTCGATACGATCTGTGTTCGCTGCTGCTGGTGCTTGCCTCCTCTTTGCCCTTGCCATGCGGCTCACTCTGCTGAATCCCTACAAGTGCCTTCCTCTTCGAGCAGTCCTTCACCATGTGCGGTCCGTTGCACAGGAAACACTCGAGCCACCCTGTCCTCTTCAATCCCAGCCTCTTAACCTCATCAGTGTACTCAAACCTTAGAGTGGCACCTCTC